TTGAGGGCATCTTGTCTGAACGTCTCGCAAATAGCGCTAGTTGCTTGATTCCTGACGGTGGAGGTGGCTTGCTTCTTACGTTTATACTCAATGCATTATTAGTCCTCTGCTCCCACTCCAGTTGCCTGAGCTTAACCCGATTGGCAGTTTTGTTTGTTGCTGTTTTGTGAACTGTAACAATTAACAATTGTCGGCTAATCAGAGAGAGAAATTTTGATAAATATGTCGATTTGACAGATAAAGCTGATAATTTCGCCTAATATTATATTATTAAAATGCATAACTGACCTAGTTCCAATTAACGATCTGTGGACCTGAAATGTTACCTCTTTTTCTGTCTGCAGATGCTGCCAGGCCTGCTGAGTTTCTCGGTCAATTCCTGTTTCTGTTTCAGACTTTCAGCATCTGCAGTTCTTTGACTTCTGTTAACTTGAATAATTTCTGGAACAAAACAGTCCATCTACAGGCTCCACAGCTTCTTTCCTGCTCCTGAAAATCAGTCATCACAATAAACGAGCAGAATAGAACTCCCATTCCCTGACCGAAAACGGAACTCAGCCTACGGCGGTGAAAGCGCCAAATCCTAACCGCTAGACCACCAGAAAGGTTATTTCAGACTCTTGTATCTTTTCTCAACGACACTGCTTCTGACTTTTGATTTTCTATCATTTTCATCAAAATTCCATTTGCCTTTTTCATTACCTGCTGCACCTGCAATCCTACTTTTAGCGATTCATGCACAAGGTCACTCAAGTCCCTCTGCACAGCAGCATGCTGCAATTTTTTACCATTTAAAACAAAGTCCATTTTGCGTTATTCCTACCAACATCGATGACCTAACACTTATCAACATTGTACTCCATCTGCCAGACCTTTGCCCACTCACTTAGACTATCTATATCCCTCTGCAGACTTTCAGCGTCTTCTGCACACTTTGCTCGACCACTCGCCTTAGTGTCATCTGCAAATTTTGACACACCACACTTTGTCCCCAATTGCAAATCATCGATGTAAGTTGTAAACAATTGTGGTCCCAACACTGATACCTGAGGTACACTACTAGCCACTGACCGCCAACGAGAAAAACACCCATTTACCCCGACTCTTTGTTTTTTACTGGTCAACCAAACCTCTATCCATGCCAATATATTACCTGTAATACCATGCAACTTTGTCTTATGTAGCAGCCTTTGGTGTGGCACCTTGTCAAATGCCTTCTGGAAATCCAGATACACCACATCCACAGGTTCCCCATTTTCCACATTGCAAGTAATGTCCTCAAAGAATTCCACCAAATTAGCTAAACATGACCTACCCTTCATGAACCCATGCTGGGTGTTCCCAATGGGAAAACTTATATCCAGATGTCTTGCTAATTCTTCCTTAATGATAGATTCAAGCATTTTCCCCACTGCCGAAGTTAAGCTAACTGGCCTAAAGTTACCTGCTTTTTGTCGACTTCCTTTTTTAAACAGTGACATCACATTGGCTGTTTTTCAATCTGCGGAAATGACCCCAGAGTCCAGTGAATTTTGGTAAATAATTACTAGTGCATTTGCTATGTCCCCCATCACCT